TGTCCAGTGAGAAGATTAAGGTGGATTTGAAGAAGATTGAGCAGTTCAGAGTTGGCCCATACCTTCTACTGCTAATGATATCTGGAGTCTCCTTGGGTTGGCTTGTTATTATCACTATTTTGTGGAGGGTTTTTCATCTATAAAAGCCTTATTGACTAGATTGACGCTGAAGGGTGCCATATATAGGTGGTCCGATGAGTGTAAGGAGATCTTTAAGAAGCTGAAGACCGCCTTGACTATAGCTCCAGTTCTGGTTTTGCCTTTGGGATTGAGCTCTTATACATTTTATTACAATGCTTCACGGGTCGGTATTAAGTGTGTCTTGATGTACGATGGCAGCGTGATTGTTTATGTTTCATGTTTATTGAAGCCAATTGAGAAGAACTACTTAGTACATGATTTGGAGTTAGCAGTTATTGTTCACGCCCTCAAGATTTAGATGCACTATCTTTATAGAGTGTCTTGTGAAGTGTTCACAGATCATAAAAGTCTCCAGCATCTATTCAGGCTAAAAGATTTGAACTTGAGGCAACGAAGGTGGTTAGAGATATTGAAATACTATGATATCACCATTCATTATCATCTGGGGAAAGTCCAATGTGGTGGCTGTTGCTTTGAGTAGAAAGGCAAAGAGCATGGGTAGTTTTGCTTTTATCCCAGTTGGGAGAGACCGTTAGCTTTAGATGTTCAGGATTTGGCAACAGATTCATGAGGTTGGATATTTCGGAGCCTAGAAGGGTTCATGTTTGTGTTGCATCACAGTCATCCTTGTTTGAGCGCATCAAGGCACATCAGTATAATGATCCCCACTTGTTTGTCCTCAGAGACACGGTGCAACACGATGATGATAAGGAGGTTACAATTGGAGATAATAGGGTATTGAGGCTTTAGGATCAGATCCGTGTTTTAAATGTGGATGGGTTGTGAAATTTGATTCTTGAGAAGGCCTATAGCTCATGGTCTTCCATTCATCCATGTGCTGCGAAGATGTACTGCGATTTAAGGCAGCATTATTAGTAGCGGAGGATGAAGAAGGATATTATTGAGTATGTTGCATGGTGTTTGAACTATCATCAAGTGAAGTACGAGTATCAAAGACCTGGTGGTTTACTTCAGCTACTAGATATACAAGAGTGGTGGGAACGTATCGCTATGGATTTTATAGTTAGACTTTCATGGACATTGATGGGATTTGATGTAGTATGGGTCATTGTGGATAGACTTACCAAGTCTGCATACTTCATTCCAATCATGACTACCTACTCTTTAGAGCAGCTAGCTCAGATTTATCTTTGAGAGATTGCTCGTCTTCTTGGTATGTCCGTTTCTATTATCTCAAATGAAGAACTCAATTTACATCGCATTTTTGGAGAGAAGTGCAGTATGAATTGGGGCACACATTTCATCCCCAGATGAATAGGTAGCCGAATGTACTATTTTAATCTTGAAAGACATGTTGTGAGCCTGTGTTATTGACTTCGGGGGTTAGTGAGATTAGTTTCTATTGTTAGTAGAGTTCACCTAAAACAACATCTATCAGTTGAGTATCTAAATGGCTCCTTATGAGGCCTTATATAGGAGGTGATGTCGTTCTCCAATTGGTTGGTTTGAGCTTGGGGAGGCTAGGTTATTGGGAACTGATTTGGTTTATGATGCTTTGGAGAAGGTGAAGTTGATTCAATAGCGGCTTTGTATAGCACAGTCCATGCAGAAGAGTCATGCAGACATGAAAGATCGTGATGTGGCATATATGGTGGATGAGAACGTTCTACTTAGAGTCTCTCCCATGAAGGGTGTGATGAGTTTCGAGAAGAAGGTCAAGTGAAGCATATTGGTCCTTTTGAGGTGCTAGAGAGAGTTGGCAAGGTCGCCTATAGACTTGTCTTTCCACCTAGTTTATCAAAATTTTACCCAATGTTTCATGTTTACATGCTCCGAAAGTACTATAGGATAAGTCACATGTTTCAGACTTCAGCATGGTGCAGTTATATGCATATTTGACTTATGATGTGGAACCGGTAGCCATTCAGGACTGGCAGGTTCAGAAGTTAAGGACAATAAATATAACATCAATGAAAATTAATTAGAGGGGTCAGCCAGTTGAGGAGGCTACATGGGAGATCATGTAGGAGATCTAGAGTAGATATCCTCACCTTTTTTATACCCCAAGTATGAATCTAGACTCATTCGAGGACGAATATTTATTTAAGAGGGGGAGAATGTAATGATTTGGCTAGTCGTTTTGAGTATTTTATCCATGTTTCCCCTATTTAATTATTTACATATGTGTAATTGTCGTTATGCGACTTTTGGGGATGGTTGATTTGGTTTCGGAAGAGTTTTGAATTGAATTGGGACACTTAGTTCTAAGGTTGGGAGATTAAGTTGTGAGGGTTGATTGGAGTTTAACCTTTGTGTAGACGACCCGAAATAGTATTTTGATGGTTCTAATAAGTCCGTATGGTGATTTTAAACTTAGGTGTAGATCCGAATTTGGAGGTTCCGAGGTTGTTTTGGCTTGAATTGGTGAAAGTTGAAAAGTTAAAGGTTTGGAAGGTTCATAGGTTTGACTGGGAGCTGACTTTGATGATATTGGGTTCAGATTGTTGTTTCGAGAGTGGAAATAGGTCTGTTGTTTCATTTGGGAGTTGTATGCAAGATTTGACATCATTCCTAGTTGACTTGATGGGGTTCGACATACGTTTTGGAAGTTGGAAGTCGATTAATTCCTTAGGATTGAATATAGGTGCGAATCATGACTTTAATATTGTTTTGTGTGATTCGAGGCTTCGAGTAGATACATGTTATGTTTTGGTATTGGTTGGCACGATTGGATGGGGTCCCGGCGGGCTCGGGTGTGTTTCAGATGAGTTTCAGATTATTTTTATCTCTTTCGACAAACCAGTTCTGGTATTTTTGCATTTGCAAAAATTTGGTCGTAGATTTGAAGCTGCAAAAGTGGCCAGTGTTGTGCAGAATCGAAATGGATTGGAGGCAGGGGAAATCGACGTATGTGGAGGTGTTCCACATAAGAGGATGCGCTTCTGCAATATGGAGTGCGCAGAAGCGGACGCGCAGGTGTGATGTACCGTCGATGCGGTTGGTTGACTTTTTAAGTGAAGCCGCAAATGTGGGATTTTCTTTGCCGAAACAGAGCCACATATGCAGTATTTTTTAGTCCGCAAATGGGAAAATTCAGGGCAGGCTATAATATTTCGAGTGTTTAGTTATTTTTTCATTATTTGGAGTATTGGAGCTGGGCTATTGATGATCTTTCAAGAAATTTTTACCACAATTGAAGGGGTAAGTGATCTTTACTTGATTTTGATGTTAGATATTGATTACCCATAAATTATTACACCAGTTTATGCGAATTAAAGTTGGAATTTGGAGCTTTTTTTACTATGGTTTTGGAGAGTAAAAATTGATGATTTGAGGTTGGATTTGGATGAAACACACATATTTAGACTCGTATCGGAATGGGTGTTCGGGATTTGTAAATTTTGTTGGGTTCTATGTGTGTGCCCAAGTTTGACTTTTTGGGTTGATTTTGCATAATTGTATCAATATCATAGCTTTATTGTTTAGTATCATTTTCTATGTCTTTTATTGATGATCATAAGTTATTTTTGCTAGATTCAAGCCATCTTGAGGTTGATTCACGCAGGAAGGGATTCTTAGAGTATTGATTTTGGCTTGCTTAAGATAAGTATCTTACATAATCTTGGTTGAGGCACGAGTTGCCTGAGTTACTTGTGATAGCTACGCGCTACGGGTGGCGCACATATGAGGGGAATGAGCCCATGTGCGTGCATCGAGGTATTATTCATGCTCGGGGTAATGATAAGACTATTATATGCCTTGAATTCATTTCTAAGCTTCATGTTATCATGTTTTTTATGTTGTATGCCTTTTGTGAGCTAATTGAACCATGTTAAAGATTAATTGTTGGTTTCTCTCCTATTCAAGAACGTTAATTATTATTCTTGTGGCATAATCGCCAGATTTGAACTATGGTAGTACACTTCGTACATGCCTACACCTTAGCATGTCATTTATGTCAGTTCATAAGTAAGTAATTTGGTATCCATTGTTCATGCACATGTATTTTTGTATATTCTTTTCTGTGTGATATAGACTAGGTTGATAGCATGTGAGTTGTTCGTGCGGATTTGAGTTATGTTAGCACGTGAGTTGTCCATGCGGTGGTATATATGGCACATGAGTTGCCCATGTATCATATGGATAAGATTTTGTCCCCCTAGGGTCACCCTCTCATGTTTCTCTCTTGTTGGTGTACGCACGATATGAGGAAAACTGGCTAGTGTATGTTTTGGTTATTGCATTTTTTCTCTACTTGAAATTTCATTGGATGCATACATGTTTTATTCGCATATGTTCTCTATATGCTAGATCAAGAATGTATACATGTCTTGTTTTGAATATATTCTTTATATCCTGGATTGTTAATGAAAATAGAGCATGTTACGTTATCTTTATGCATCGGGAGGCTTTATATGAGATTTATGACTTAATGATGTTATTGTTTTAAATTTATAGCAGTGACCTTGTTGATTATCACTTTTAATTACCCCTCTCTCTATAACCTAACGTCTATCTCTCTCTTTCTAACCTAACGTCTCTTTAACGTCCCTCTGCTAATGCTGGCATAATTTCGGCGACCTCCACCGGAGTCAGGTAAGTCCCCCTCCCTTCTTTAACGTTTCCTATGCTTTTCTTCCCCCCTCCTCCTCTTTTTTCCTCTTTCCCCATCCCAGATCTGGTGATCTGCCCCCCCCTCCCGTTTCTGCCTTTTCTTTCTTCCTCATCCATTATCTCTCTTCTTTTCTCCAGCTTTTGCTTTTTTGTTTTTGTGTTTTTTGTCATTCGTTTTTTCTCTGTCGATGGGCATCTCCACCGGGCATCGGCGTTCTTCTTGGCCATCTTCTGTCCTTTCCTGGTGTGTTTTTTGTCAAATTTTGTTTGGCATAAAAGCGGTTATGCATAAGGAAATTGTTCCGGCGAGCTTGGAGAGGAAAGTGAGGCCCAAGCACGGGCAGTCGGAGGTGGGCAACACGTAGACATTTTCGAACTGTAGCTGTTGTTGGTTAACACCATTTTGGCAGCCGTAAACATTCTAGGTTCTATCATTCCTACTTCGTATTTGTATCTTGCGTGTTCATTGCTTTGTTGCCTACCTTTTACGCTTGAGTATTGCATTAATTGTCTGCCTTTGTTGTGTGTTTACCTTTCTTGGCCATTAGCTGAGACACTGCACCTCTTGTGCGATTAAGAAAATTTTTAGCCTACTTTGAAGCTTTTCCACTTGTTTGCATTTGCGTTAGTTTTAATCTTAATTTGTAGTCCTTACTTCCTTTGTTGGTGGGGTGGCTAGTTGAAATGATAGTAGAGTAGGGTCATTTCCTCGGATGGGCCAAGGGGCGGGGGCAAGGGAGTCAAGGAGGGTAAGGGATCTAGTAGGCTGAGAGTGGGGTCGTGGGACATAGGGACACTAATGAGTAAGTCTATAGAGTTAGGGAAGATTTTTCATAATAGAGGGATTAATAAAGCTTGTGTTCAGGAGACTAGCTGGAAGGGCATGAGGGCACGAGATGTTAACGGGTTTAAGCTATGTTATTCAGGAGGAGAGGCTGGCAAGAATGGGGTAGGTATTTTAGTTGATAGGGATCTCAGGGAGATTGTGGTGGATGTTAGGGGGGTGAACGATAGGCTAATAACTATTAAGCTAGTGGTTGGTGGGGTCATTCTTAACGTGATTAGCGCTTATGCGCCTCAAGTGGGCTTGGTCGAAGATGTCAAAAGGCGCTTCTGGGATTATTTGGATGGGGTTGTGCGTGGTATTCCACACTCCGAGAAGCTCATCATTGGGGGTGATTTTAATGGCCATATTGGCGTCACTGCTAGGGGTTATGACGAGGTGCATGGCTGGTTCGGTTTTGGAGTTAGGAATGAGGGCAGTACCTCTTTGTTGTATTTTTCTAAAGCATTCAACCTGGTGTTAGCTAATTCGTGTTTCCATAAGAGGGAGGAACATTTAGTCACTTTTCAGAGTAAGGTTGTCAGGACTCAGATTGATTACCTTCTCTTTAGGAAGGATGATAGGGGCTTGTGCACTGATTGCAATGTTATCCTGAGTGAGTGTATCGACGCCACATAGACTTCTGGAAATGGACTTAGAGGTCAATAGAGTAAGGAAGAAGAGAGTGGTGTATGACCAACCGAAGATTAAGTGGGGAGCCTTGACTAAGGAAAAGGCGCAAGAGTTGAGGGAAAAGTTGTTGGCCATGGGGGCTTGGAGGAGTAGTAGGGATGTGCTGATACCCAATTTTTCCCTATATATTTTCAATATGCAAAATACTTTCAAAATAGAATATATATATGCATATATAATCTTGTCAAAGGTTTTATTATTTTTTCCATAAATTTAAGGTTTTTAATTGATTTATTTTCTCCCTTTTTACCCATAAAATCCCCAATAATTATTTTAAAATTATTTTTTTGATAGGTCATCTATTGGATTTCTATACTTATGCCAAAATATGGCTAAGGTAATTTTTACATATTTTTATAATTTCATTTACTATTTTCAAAGCTAAATTGCACATAATTGCAATATTAGCCCTTTTAAGATTTAATTATGTTTTATATGCATAAAATTGGATCCTGTATTTTTAAACTTCTAATTATGTATTATAAATCATATTAGCTTTTTAAATTATTTTTTAGAAACTATCTACTATTTTTTATAAATCAAATATGGAAAAAACTGGCTATTTAAATTATAGCCAAATTGACTTTCAATTATAGCCCAAATCGGACCCCAATTCACAGCCTAATTTACAATTAAAAAACCCGACCCATACCCTATTAACACATACCCAAACCCGAAACCCACCTACCCCATTTAATCTCGACCGTTGATCTCTCAGATCAACGGTCCACGCCGTTTCTTTCCTTTTTTTAATCCAACAACCCCCAAAACCCTACCCCATTCTTTCATTTGCGCCGCCTATGAATCCTCTCCTCCTAGCTTCTCTCTCAGACACCCTCAAACCCTAATCACTGTCCACCTTCTCCGGCCACCTCCCTCACCGGAAACCATGGCCTCTCATCATCTCCTGGCCTCCGCTTCACCCCACGCCGGTTTGACACTACCCTGAGGTCCTCAGGTGAACCTAGAGCGGTTAAACTCCTATCCATGGTATTTTATGCCATTTCCCAACCATCCATGGTTGTTCGAGTAAGATATATGACTTTTCCAGCTAAAATCGGCAACATTTTAAGGTCCTCTTATCTTTTCTGGGTTCTTTGAAACCCTAACTCTCAAGATTCTCCACTTTTCTTTAGATCTGTCTTAGATCTAGGTATATCCATGAGTTTTTAACCGATTTTTCTTCATCTCTACTATTTTCCGAAAACCCTAGATTCGCTATTGTTCGATTCTTCTCAGATCTTTCTATATCTGAGATGATTCGAGTATTATTAAGTGTTTTTCTTTAAAAACCTCCTGTTTTAACTAACTATTTCAAATTTTTAATCACTCTTCCTAAACTAGGGTTCATCCCAAGTTGTTTTTCAAAGGGTTTTTCTGAATTCTAAGTGTTTGATTTATTATCTTTTCGTCTTCGTGACTGATTTGTTCAAGAATATGAAACCCTAGTTGATTCTATGTGGTTCCTTCAATTTGTGCTTCGATTTGGGGTATCTTTTTGGTGCCAATCGTGTTAGTTTACTCCATCTTTTGGATTTAAACATTTTTCCTTGTTAAATCCAGTATTTGTGTGGTTTTGCCCTAATTAATATTTGTTAAAATTCGAACATGCTTTTCGGCTAAGTTCTATATTTTCTGTGAGGTCTTACTTAGTTTAATCTCTATTTTTATGGGATTTGAGTAACTCTTTCCGAAATCACTATTCTTTTGAAGGTTTTGCTGATTACTTTACTCTATTAAGATTCGTGTGCATAGATTATATTGATTTCCTTGTTTATGACTTTAATTGGTCATCTCTGCCTTAATTGACTGCCTGCATAATTTTAAGATTCGTACTTACTCCTTATTTTGTATGATTTGGACTCCTTGCTTTAATTAAACCCCTGTTGTTACCGTTAATCAATTACCCCTAATTAAGGGGGTTTATTCCGAACCCCTTTAGGTGATTTGATTCTGTAATTCTGTGATTGTCCCTAATTAACTGGCTTCTGATTCTTTACCTCATTGGTTCTACTCCTAAAGTGCTATATATACACTCTTGTTTTACCTCTTAACACACGGATAATAGTTGAGAATACACACACCCACACTCAAACTCTCTCTTCTTTCTCTGTTACTTGTGCTAACTGCTTGTCTAGCTGGCTGAAAGCCAAGGCTAGACTGTGGAACTCTACTTACTTTACTTTCTGCACTTTACTTCCTTAACTTGTATGTTCCTAGTTCAATTCTGAACTCAACTCTATGTGCTCTATGTCTGTTAATCCATGTCTCCTTCTGCACTAATTTAATGCCTTATGTATTTAATTACTCTTCTTGTTTACTACTTTATTCATTATGCTTAAGTTTTGCTCTCTTTTGTTCAATTGTGTAATCAGCATGTCTGGGTCTCACTTGTCTTGTATGATACTGGGCCATCATGTTTACTTGAGTTCTTGTTTATTCCCCTCAACTAATATGCCCATAGACTCCTAATGTATTTCATTAACACTAAGTAGCATGACTAACTCTGTGTAATAGACCCCTTCCCTGTAATTCAGCATGTCTACTGTTTTCTTACATTTTTATACTATTATTCTGTCCTAACCCCCTAACCCCAACACATTGTAAGCATGTGTTTGTGACACCCAGTCACTATGTGATCCTGAACCCTTCCCACTACACCTAATGAGTAACTCTATTAAGCTCCTAGCATGAGCACTTTGTGATAGACTATTGTTGTGACTATTTAATTTCTGTAGCACTTCTCTGGTGTTAACCTGGCTTTCATATATGAACTATTTGTCCTCAATTCCTCCTTTCCCTGTTGTGCTTGAACCATGTATGTTGATTTGGTCTTGAGTTGCTGATTGTCCTGTTTCTTTTCTTCTCCAAACTGGTTTTCACTAAGGCAAACTCTTCTATTGCTTTTCCAAAACTTATTTCAAACTAATCATTGTCAAACATGTTTCCAACTCAACTCTTTTAAACTATGTTAAGCACTCTCACTTTACTCTTAGACCACTAGGTTTTGCCCTTTTGTGTGAGCCTTGCTTTAAGACCCTTGAGCTCCATCTGAACTTGGACACACAAAAGCTGGCCTTTCCACACTGTACTTACTCTGTCTTGGCTATGAAATCTGGGTGTGAGTACTGCTCGGGATCCCTTGAAGTCCTTAGGGAACTCTGACACACCTAAATATGAGAAAGGCTATGGAACAATCTTGGCACTTGAGGTGACTTATTATATAACTCAGGAAGGAAGTCCTAATCAGGTGCTGAAAGTTTGGGCCTGTCTTCAGGCTCTCTATAGTGTAACTTTTATTTTTCTTATTTAATTCATTTCATTATTGGTTTGTAATAATCTGTTGAAAACAAGTATTGGGGTTGGCTAGTGAAAAGGGATGGGGTAAATATGCATGCCATAGTTGTTAAGGGTAGAAAACATATTATTAGGTTTATATTCCTAATTGCGCAATAGAACCATGCTTAGGATTCATACATTAGACATCATGCTATTTAGGATTTATATGTACTATTTTCAGCATCTCATTCACACTTAGAAATCCTATCTACAGGGTAGATAATAACAATAAAATAAGCTGCTATTATGTGATTCTGCCCACATAAACATGTTCCGAAATTTCATTTAGAAATCCTGCTCTTAGTAAATTCTGCAATCATGTTGTGTATTTAGAAATCATGCTCTTAGGAAATTCTTCAATAATGTGTGTATTTAGAAATACTACTTTAGGAATCGTGCATATAAATCATTAGATACCATGATTAGGTTTTCGTTCATACTCACTCAGCTACGCTTAGTTAAACTACTGGTGCATGAAAAGGAGTATCAGCAGTCTCATCCTGCTTTAAACAAACTAGTAATAATCCCTGCATGTCTTTGTAATATTTTGAACAACATGTTTTAGGTACAAACAATTTCCAAACTCTTTTTAATAATTCTGAATAACTGCTGCATGTTATATTATGCCTAGGCAAGCCTTAAGTGCTAAATTTGTCAAAACTAGAAACACGTTTCTTTATATATGTTGCTTAATTATCAACTATTAGAATCAGTAGGCAAGCCTGATTCGGACTTCTTTTATGAGTCATGTAATAAATCCGATTCAGCTGTTGTCACTTAGATACCATGCATAGGATCTGAATGTGGACCTTATCTGTGTATGAGTCGTGCTGTCTATGTGTATTACTTGTGGAGGTATAACTGACCCTTCTATTTGTTTTTCTATGTTTCCCCCCTAAATGCGGTCTTATGTGTTCTTATTTGTCGCCTAGTATTTTGCCTTTAAACCTAAGGGTCTGCCTAGCACCTCCCTTTTATAGGATAGGAGTCCTAAATTCCTCCGGGACTGATAGAAAGGGACAGATAATACCATGCAATTGGGGTCGAGACCAACCTTCACTTTAACTACCTTCACAGGGCGGGAAAGGGTAGATATGGATATGATGACCGGTGCGTTAATACCACGTGTAGCCCCTCTTTGAGGAGTGTCATACCGGTTATTGCATTAATGTGATCCATATTATAAACAAACCTAGGACACCCCTTATACATATCTGAATATGCTTATATTGTAATTCTTTTTTTTCAAAATCTTCCTTTTATTAATTGCTGCGTTCTTAAACTTAAATCCCATACTATTTGAGTCATACTTGCTTATTTGCTAATTGTACAAAGTCACAAAAAAAGTTGTTTGGCCGGGAACCACATTAGTGGACCTGAGGGGTGCGTAACACCTTCCCCTTGGGATAATTTCAAGCTCTTACCCTATATCTGGTTACCAAATGTAGTTATAAATGAACCTTATAGGTGCCCTAACGCACCTTAAATCGTTAGGTGGCGACTCTTAAACTGCAAACCCTCTTTCCCAAAAGGAAAGAGTTGTCCCAACCAAATGTCATAAACCCGATTCCGCGAAGGAAAAAAGGGGCACGACAGCAGGGCGACTC